CCGTTATATCCATGTTCCATCATGCTGTGGAATACACTGTAGTTATTAAAATGAAAATTATGACTATTACACAGTTATCTGAAAAAAATAAACATATTAATTAGGCTGTAAAAATCCAAGTGTAAAATTATATCTATATTATGATTACAGGTATGTTGAAACATATGCACATGTATGGGAACTGGAAAAGAGCAAGAACAGTGAACACAGGTAAGTTGTTAGAGGGGGAGAATAGGGTTTTTTTCACTTTAAAAACGTTTTTGATATTACTGTTAGAAGGTGCTTTTTTTTTCACCATATTTTGAAGTTCCCAGATAACCAGATTTTCCTTAACCAACTGCTGATGATAATAGACTGTAATTAATGCATTGCTTTATTTTATTTAGCCTTTGGTGTTGATTTGGGTAGTGTTCATGGGCTGTTAAGTTTTATGGCTCAATAATGACAGAACAGCTTTTTGAAGCCTAAATGACCTCCAAATAGCCAAAAGCTATGTTTAGAGTCTCTGCTATTAAAGAATAAATAATGCAGTTCATTCTTTCAGTCAGGGGATTTATTTGGGCAACTAAAACGTGAAAGAGAATTACCTACATGTTATTCATTGTTTTATATTGCATAGATGGAATGGGAGCTAAATGCCATGCAAGAACTTGACAAAATAAGTACATAATTACTCAGGATATGTATGTTTTTTCTGTCACAAAATTCTAACTGGATTCAGCTTATTCAAGTTTAATTCAATGGAACTTAATGTTTTCAGTCTTCTGTCTTCTGACATTAGCATTATTCTAATCCTAGCTCATATATGAATATTATCAATTGTTTCAACCCTGCAACTCCATGCACAAGGACAGATATCTTTGTAAATTAGTTTATTACCATGTCTTCTTTCTAACTACATAGAAAATAATATGCCACTGTGTGTGGTAGGCAGAATAAAGGTTTTAGAAAGATGTCCACACCCTAATCCAAGGAACCTGTCCCTTTGTTACCTTACGTGCACAAAGGACTTTGCAGATGTGATTAAGTTAAGGATCCTGATATGGGGTAAATATCTTGGGATTTTGGGGATGGATGGAATGTACACAAAAATCCTTATAAAAGGAAGGTGAGAAGCTTTTAGAAGGAGGTGTAAGGATGCAAGTATAGGTTAAGGGAGAGTGATTTGAAGATGCTACGCCGCTGGCTTTGACCATGGAAGAAGGAGCCATGGGAAAAAAGAATGCAGACACCTTCTAGAAGCTGAATAAGGCAAAGAAACAGGTTTTTCCTGAGAGTCCTGGAAGGGAATGTGACCCTGTTTACAAGTCGATTTTAGCCTATTGAGATCCATTTCCAGCTTCTGACCTCCAGAACTGTGAGAGAATAAATATATTTGTCACAATTATAGCAGCAATAGGAGTCTACAACAATGTATTTCATAATGTTTTCTTTAAAAACTCATGCAAATCTACATTTTGAAGCTCAAATGATATTTTTTAAAACATGCTAGAGAAATGTAGCATTTGAAAAAAAGGTGCTGCTGAGAGGAATTCCCCCACCTCTATCTTTAAGTATCATGGTTAGATTAATAATAAAATTGACGTAAGACCAGATTAACAGAAGAAAAAAGCCAATTTATTATATGTGCATGGGAGAATCATAAACAGTGCTCTGATAAATGATGAACCAGTCAGTGTTTTATACTTTTTAGAGAAAGAACCAATAAATTTGTGTAAAACTGATAGGACCCCCCCCCCAAAAAAAAAAAACATAGTTCTCATTAGACAGGAATGTAATCAAGATTTTGGTATTTATTTGTGAAGAATCTAAACAAAGTTTTGGGTTGGGTCATAAATTAGAAAAGAGGCAATAGGTTTCGTTTATATAGGCGTTTTGGCTCTGAATTCATTAGTTTTAGTGATAATGGTGTCTCCAGTGGCAGAGGGCACCTTTTATATGGGGAGCTCACAGTTTCTTTTCTTTCCCCTAAATTTTGTTTTAAATGTATTGATTTTAGAGAGAGAGAGAGGAAGTGAAGGAGAAAGAAAGACAGAGAAACATCAGTTTGTTCCACTCATTCATGCATTTGTTGGTTGCTTTCTCGTATGTGCCCTGACCTGAGTAATGCTTCAGGCAACGGAGCAACCCGGCCAGGGCCTCATATGGGGTTTATTTCCTGCTTTCAGAGGGACCAAGAGAGAGACGGGTCAGACTGGTCTTGCATTGGCAGTTTCTTAATTAACCTTTATTCAAAAATAATCAGTATGCCTTTGGGTGATGTTTTGGGGCACTCTACCCTGGGCCTTAACAAAGGTCAAGAATAGATCCAATTTAAAGGCAAAGACATCTTTCCTATGAAAAGCCACCCAATACTAATATGTTTTATATACTTACATTGTTCTTTGCCACATTTTTCTTTTCTTCTTTAAAAATATGTTTATTGATTTTAGAGAGAGACAAAGGGGGAGAGAGAGAGAGAACCATCTGTGTGAGAAACATCGATTGGCTGCCTCCCACACTCACTCCAACTGTGGATTGAACCCACAACCTAGGTATGTGCCCCAACCTTCTGGTGCATGGGACAATGCTCCAACCAACTGAGCCACACTGGCCAAGGCCTTTGCCACATTTTTCTAACACACAAAGAAAGTGCTATAATACTCCATATAAAATCACGAATGTTGCCTAGACAGCATCGAAAAGTGTGAGATTCTGAATTTTTAAGCCTGGAATGGCAGTTGACTATTTTCAGAACTTCAGGGGTCACTGGGATTTGGTGGTGGTAGCAGCTGTTGTGTGTTTCTTGTGTTTCTCCTTCATAAGGAAATCTTACCCTGTGTGCACAGAGAGACTTGTCTGGGTTTGACTCAAGCTCTTGGAACTTGCCTATGGCAGTGAAATTCCTAACAACCAGGCCAATCAGAATGAGATAGGGCTCTCAAGTGAATCTTGCTTACTGAATCAAAGGATGGGGTGGAGATGGAGGCCAAGCACTAATTAGGTGGATCTTTAAGCACTAATTAAGCATAGGTGGATCTTTCTAGCAGTTAGAATTGAATTCCCATTTTGGTGTTGACTGGGGACATTTTCACCTGTGACCTCCCTGTTACATTTTAAGGAAACAAAATGTATTGTTTTTCATAGCTCTGGGTTTCTACCCCAAAGGTCAAAGTTTACTACCACTCTTAACTAATTTCATGAAAATAATCTTCATTTACTGCATAAGAAGCAACCTCCAATTCATGCAATTGCTGCACTGTTAAAGAAAGTGCAGTGAGAAGACTCTTGGAACATTCAACAAGTACTTTTTGTAGACTCTGTTTTACTCAAAAATTGTCCAGCATGTGGAGTCAGAATAGGAATTAGTAAAAGTGGGAAACAAGCCAAACAAAGTTGGAAAACATTGAAATATGCAGCTATTTTAGTAGTTCTGTTTTTCTTACTGCACTTCATTAACTGTGTTATTAGGCATATATCTGCAACTCCTCCTGAGCTAAATAAAATTGCTGAATTGCCCAACACTTTACTTTCTAGTATCTCAAAAGATACACAGCCTATCTCATGATTCTTCAGAAGCTCCTTTTCAGGTATTTGGCAAGTAAGGCATTCTGGGCCATTGGATGAATGTGTACTGTGTGCCAGAGCAGGGATCTGGAGGAGGGACAAGGTTGCTGGATACTGATTTCATGCTGATTTGAGTTTGTGCAACTTGTTAAAGCCATTTGGGAATGTGACAGAGAGGTACAGACTGAGGTGGTAGTACTGTATGAACAGAAAGATTTGCTGCTGTATCGCAGATTCAGCTTCTTTTTTAAAAAAAGATTTTATTTATTTATCTTTAGAGGTGAAGGGAAGGAGAGAAGGAGGGAAGGAGAGAGGGAGAGAAACATCAATGTATGGTTGCCTCTCCTGTGTCCCCTGCTGGGAACTGGCCTGCAACCCAGGCATGTGCCCCAACTGGGAATTGAAACACAATCCTTTGGTTCACAGGCCCGTGCTCAATCCACTGAGATATACCAGCCAGGGTGATTCAGTATCTTATATAGTCTACTTGTTCATTTATTTCCACAAATAAAGATTTTTTTGACCCATTTTTCGCTGCTGGTAAAATATATGCCAGACTAAGTATGCTGTATGCTTATAATCATACATTCTGTCTTTTTTGTAAGCTAATATTTTCCTATTTTAGTTTTGTATCAAGTTTTTGGCATTATAATTTATATATAATAAAATGTACCCATTTCAAGGGCACAGTTTAGTGAGTTCTAACAAACACATGCGACCACTACTGTAATAAAAATATAAAATATCTCCATAACCTGCAAAAGTCTTATCCTGCCCCTTTGAAATCAATTATTTCTCCCCACAGTGTTCAAGACCAACCAATCTGCTTTGTGTCTTCATAGATTACATTGCACTTTTCCAGAATGTCATTGAAGAAAATCAGACAATATGGACTATGTGTATATGTTCTTTTGTTCACTATAGTGCCTTTCAGATTTATCCATGTTGTGTGTGAACTAGTAATTCAGTTCCTTTGTATTGTTGAGCAGTACTGCATTATGTGGATGGCACACAGTTTGTGCATTCATTTAAAGAACATTGGGCGTGTTTCCAGGTTTTGGCTATTGTGAATAATGCTGCTATGGCCATTCATGGACAGGTCTTTTTTTTTTTAATTTAGATGTGTTTTTATTTTTCTAGGATATCTGTAGGAGTAGAGTTATTGGGTCATATGGTAAGTGTATATTTAACTTTATAAGATACCGCCAACTTGTTTTCCAAAGTGTACCGTTTTTGCAATCTCACTAGCAATCATGAGAATTCCAAGTTATTTCATATTCTCACCAATACTTTCTGTCATGAGTAGTTAATTTTAGCTATTCTAGTATGAATATAGTGGTGTCTTCTGTTTAATAGTGAAAAGTCACAGTTTTGTTGAGTGCCACATATTGTGCTTTGATTCATATTTCTTCTGAACTAATCAAAGGGTGTAAGGTGCCTACTGGGCTGCTGGACAAAGTAAGGAATGCCTCACACAGATACAAGTCACCCTTGCACAGCGGCCATGTTAATCTTCTCTGTATCATTCCAATTTTAGTGTATGTACTGCCGAGGCACACTATAGTAGTGTCTTTTACATTTTTTAAAGATTTTTATTTATCTTTAGAGGGGAAGGGAAGGAGAGAGGGAGAGAAATATTAATGTATGGTTGCCTCTAGTGCGTCCCCTGCTGGGAACTGGCCCGCAACCCAGGCATGTGCCCTGACTGGGAATCGAACCGTGATTCTTTGGTTCATAGGCCTGCACTCAATCCACTGAGCTACAACAGCCAGGGCTCCTGTACAGTTTTAATTGACATTCCCTATTAATTAATGATGTTGAGTATCACTTCATGTTCTTATTGGCCACTCATCTATCTTTGTGAAGATTGTACAAATTACTGTGTGGTTTTTAATTGAATTGTTTACCTCTTTATTCTTCAGTTGTATATATAGTTTATATATTCTGGATAACCATCTTCATTAGATACATGTATTATAAATATTTTCCCAGCCAATACCTTGCCTTTTTAATTTTCATTAATTTATTTTTTAAGATTTTATTTGTTTATTTTTAGCGAGTGGAAGGGAGAGAAAAGAGGGAGAGAAACATTGACAAGTGGTTGCCTCTCACGTGCCCCTCCACTAGGGGGCCCTAACCTGCAACCAAGGCATGTGTTCTAGACTGGGAATCGAACTGGCAACCCTTTGGTTTTCAGGCTGGTGCTCAATCCACTGAGCCACACCAGCCAGGGCTTCTTCTTCAATACTACATATAGGAAGACAAATGTTTGATATGTACATATTTCAAGGTACTAAGAAGCAATAACGGAAATTGAGTCTCCTATGCTTTTGAGTAAATCTTGATCAGACTTGTAGGGTTAGATGACAAACACTAGGTTAGACTTTTGGGTAAAAGTAAAGATTTAGAAGGTTCTTGCCATATGAAGTAAGAAGGGCCATGGGGTGGTGAAAGTATGATGGAACATTCTGCTAATCTGAGCATGTTTGAGTGTTAAATTTTCAGACACTCCTAGGATGAGGAAAGCTTCTTCATATCAGAGTGTTAAAAAAGGAACCCTGTTAAAGAACTTTCAATTATTATTCAAATTTATTTATTTTAAATATTAAAGTAATAAGTATAGTTTTTCAGTGGGAATTCATAGAAAAATTAAAAACCAATTTTATGGCCCTGGCTGGTGTAGCTCAGTGGATTGAGTGCAGGCCTGTGAACCAAACAACCACGGTTCAATTCCCAGTCAGGCCACACGCCTGGGTTGCAGGCCAGTTCTCAGCAGGGGACACATGAGAAGCAACTATAGATTGATATTTCTCTCCCTCTTTCCTTCCCTTCCCCTCTAAAGATAAATAAATAAAATCTTTAAAAAAACCCAATTTTATGGAAAAAAATGTTTTGATCAAAGTATTTTAAATTTAGTCAGATCATTATTCAAATTATGAAGGCAGGAACAATATTAGAAAGTATGCCACACAAATTTGTATCTTAGAAAAATATTTTAATACTCAGTATTACTGAGATATAGAACAAAATTAAAATATGTGTAAGAAAATTGGTTTCAAGTACTAGCAGTAAGCGATGAATTCAACTAGATATAGAATGATGTTAGAATAATTATAAATATGATTATAAAATTTATTGCAAATGTCAAAAAACAAAACTTGACACCGAAAGTAGTAGTAATTTTATAAAAATAAAATTGCCAAAATTTTATAACTGTAATGTGCATTTAAACCTCAGGTTGCTAACAGAACTGGAAGGAGTAAAGAGGGGAAACAAAAGTGGGTTAATTGTCTCATGTTTCATTGAAGACGGTGAAAAATATAATTTTACTTTATAGTCTCATAAATAAAGAAGTACCTGCTGATCTTTGGTCAGTGGTCTGCCTAGATTATCATGTTGCACCATCCAACATGATTTAGTCCTCAGTTATTCTGCAGTGCTTGCCATCTATGAGTTCTTGGTGAGGAATTTGTCATATTGTTGGCTTTCATTTGCAGCACATACCTTTCTGTCTCCCAAACTACATCGTCACTCGTCAAAGGCACCTTCTTAGTCCTCTCCATGGTATATAGTCCTCACATATGCATTCATTTATTCATCCACTTTAGCATTTCTGAAGCATTTATTGCAAGCTACGGCATTAAGCTAAATGCCTAATTATCTCATTTAATCCATATAACAACCATTTAAGTAGGCGACATCACATTCCCACTATTTATACTTGAAAAATTGAGCTTGTGTTGAACAGTAAAAATATGCTCTGGCTGGTATGGCTCAGTGGATTGAGCCTGTAAACTAAAAGGTCGCTGGTTTGATTTCCAGTCAGGGCACTTGCTGGGGTTGTAGGCCAGGCCCTGGGTAGAGGGTGTGCAAGAGGCAACCACATATTGATGTTTTTCTCTCTCTCTTTCTTCCTCCCTTCCCCTCTCTCTAGAAATAAATAATATCTTTAAAAATAATTTTACCTCTACCCTTCTAGTTCTTGTCTGAGACCACTTGTAATAAAAGATTAACAGGAGAAAAACAAACAAAAGTTTAACAACATGAATACCTCCTGTATACAAGGGAGAGACCCCAAAAAACTGAGAAAGTCCTCAAAACACTCCAGGCCACCACTTTAAGTATGGTCTTTAGCTACGGACCAAAGAAAAATGTTGGAAGGGACAATTATGGGAGGTTTTCAAGAACAACACAGTAAACAACTGTAAGGTTTTTAGTGCAGTTTTGTCATTTACATCATTAATTGTTCTCCATTGATATATTTTCTAGAGATTTAGAGTCATCCTACTCTTCCTGTACAGAGAGGGAAACACCCTCACAAAAGGAGATTTCCCTTATACATGGCAATGTCCCGCACAAAAGGGGTAACATCTCAGTTTTGCAAACTTCACCTGTGTCTGCTGTTTTTTAAAAGTAACAAGTTACAATAATCAATATGCCTCAGAGGTGTATTTGGGATGAAAATTTCTGTTCCCCTTCAACCTCTTTCATCCAACACAATTCTGCTAGTAACAGTTTTGTCACTGAATACATTATCTTACAAGTTGTCCTTCACAGATGTTTTTTCTTTCCATACAAATTAATAACCATGGTATAACTATTTTGAGAGATATTAAATTAATTTTATAAAGTTTTGAGTTTGAGATAAATGTTTCAAGTAGAACACCAAGCTTTGAATTTTTGATGAAGATGAGCTATAAAAATCTAAATGCTCTAAATGGACAGACATTTACATTTCCCCATTATTACTTTATCTTTCACTTCGTGGCCAAAGGGAAAGAGATGTGAAAAAGGAAAAATGATCAACAAAACATGCAACTATATTTTCCTTGTAATTTATTTTCATGGCTGATGTTGGAGAAAAAGTTGAGTGAAAATTAAGACATTTTTGTTTGTAAAAAATTAATAAAGTAGTGTTCCAATGATATAAAAAATGTAATATCAACTTGTTTTCTTCATATATTTGTGAGTGAAGATGAAATATTGCTCAGAGAGTTGAAATTCTCAACATTGCAGTACTCATAGTTCTCATGATTAATTTCTGAAGCAGCACACACAAAATTTGTGATATATTTTGCCTACAGAAGTTTCCCCAGAACCCCACAGAGAACACCCACAATATAGCCAGATTCATCAAAAACAACTAACATTTTCCATTCAGACCTTTCCATTTTATTTCTCAGTAATCCTTACAGCAGTCTCTCAAATTGCAAAGCAGGCTTAATGAATTATTTGAACATTGGCACTAATTAATATTAACAGTAATGAGTTCATTTGTGTTTTAGTAGTGGATGACATCATTGAAATTATTAAAGATGCCAAGGACTGATCTGAGGGAAAAAGGAAAATGTAAAGACGTCACCAGAAAGCTGGGCAGTGGGAGGCCACCAAACATTTACGCTCCTTTAGTAAACTTTCCTTTAGGTTACCTTTCTTTTTTTTTAAAAAAATATTTTATTTATTTATCTTTAGAGGGAAAGGGGAGAGGGAGAGAAATATCAATGTATGGTTGCCTCTCCTGCGCCCCCTGCTGGGAATTGGCCTGAAGGGAACTGGCCTGCAACCCAGGAATGTGCCCTGACCAGGAATGGAACTGTGATTGTCTGGTTCGCAGGCCCGTGCTCAATCCACTGAGCTACACCAGCCAGGGCTTTAGGTTACCTTTCTTAACACCCATCTGATCTTCTGCTTGAAGTTCATGCAACTTTCTCCCAATCTTAGCACGGAGTGAGATCCTTTAAGTAGAGTGTAATGAAGAGGACCCTGAACTCTGAGTTAAACAGATCAGAATTTGAGTCTTGACTCTGTGATTACTACCTTGCTAAGGTTCAATTTCCTGATCTGTAGGATGAAGATGACAACATGTGCCTCCCATAATAGGATGATATGAGATAATGTATGTGATGTGTAGTGCAGGATCTCCAAACCGGGGAGTTGCTTAAGTATTTGTGATATTCTGAAAACCCCATGCAGTGGACTATCACATGTAGACATGCTGTTTATTATTCAATTACAGGGGAGCACACTGATGGTGGCGGGTGTGTGCGAGAGAGACACACCTCCTCCAGCCTGAGGCTTGTTATAAGGGGTCCCACCCAAGGCAGCACAGGTCCAGGTTGCACCAACCTACGTGTGGCCATGATCTACCTTACATCAGTGTGCATGTGCAGAAGGAAAAGATTAAGAAGCAATCGCAAGACAAGAATCCGCTCCCAAAAGCAGATAAGGTCAGAGTTACAATCCATTTCCAAAGCAATACACATTCCTTCTCCCAGGGGCCCTCTGGCCAGTCCTGATCACCGGTGGTAGAATAGCCATGTATTGACCCCACATGAGGGTGTCTAGCCAATAGCAGGGATTTATATTAGTTATAAAGTGACCATACATTTGAGTTCAACCATGATAGATTTAAATGAAGTGTGAGAACTACTTTTTAAAAAATTTGGCATCACAGAGATTTACTTTCTTCACCTTGGTACCCAGCTAAAGGGGTTCATTCACCTGTGTGCATCAAAACCCAGTAAAAAAACAAGCACAAAAACCAGCCCCATCAAATGCT